GCTATAAATCATCAGGTCTTTGATCATGTCTTAAACATTTTTTTAAGTATTGTATAGTCCAGGTGTAACCCACATGCGATTTTGCAAGTTCAAAGAGAAGCAGTGGGGCGCTCATCTCATCTTCCCTGAGTGTTGCCTTGTGTGGAAATGCCATTGGGATATTTCCCAGGTACCAGCTTTGGTCTGTCAGAATTTCAGTAGATGGGTTGAGGTGGAAATGTAAGGTGATCTCGCTCCTTTTCTCTCTCGTGCAAAGGACAAGACGTCCTTCATGAGCAGGAGGGCGATGGTCGGATAGTGTCATGGTAGATCCTGCTGTGCGTATGGAAAGCATTGGCCTGGCTGCTTTGTGATCCCCTTTATAAGAACACAGACCAAGTGGCGGCACTCTTGTCCCATTGGAGTGAACTATAAAGACTCCTTTGATCTCTTGCCCTGGTGAGAGTTCTCGGTGGGCAAAATTTAGCGTCCGCTGCCACGGTAAAAATGAAAAATTATACGCTCCAGGTAATGGAAACTTTTAAAAATTGGTTGAATACCTAGCTTTGTTTGATCCAGTCATGAAGGAGCATCTACGTAAAATAACTGATCATGAAACACAGGTTCATTACTTAGGAAAAAATATGCAGAATGAACTGATTCAAATCCTAGCAAATACCATTAAAAAGAAAATTGTAGAAGCTGCCCATTCTGCAAAATACTTTTGAATAATACTGGACTGTACACCACGTGAGTCATGTTGAACAAATGATGACGATGATTTGTTTTCTGGCTATGGAAAAGTCTGCTGATGAAGATAATGTTGAAGTACTCATAAAGGAACAATTTGGGGGTTTCGTACCACAAGGAGATGACTGGAGCCTTTATGACTGAAACTATTCTACAAGAGCTTGAAACAATGTCATAATCTGTTGAAAACTTATGTGGCCAAGGCTATGATAATGGGAGTAATATGAAGGCTAAAGACAACGGTGTGCAAAGGAGACTGATGGAAATCAATCCTAGGGCCTTTTTCGTTCCTTGCAGTGCGCATTCTCTGAATTTGGTTGTCAATGATGCTTCTAGATGCTGTTTGGAGGCAAGCAGTTTCTTTGACCTGTTCTGTGTTTTTCTCAGGCTGAACACGCCGTTGGGAGATTCTGACTCGCCATGTGAATTCTCTAACTGTGAAACCACTTAGTCAGACAAGATGGGAGAGTCGCATTGATGCTTTGAAGCCTCTTCACTATGAACTTAGAAACATTTATGATGCCCTGATTGAAATTTCTGATGATACTACCTTTACTGGATCATCTGGCAATACGGCATGTTCAGATGCAGAAGCTCTTGCAAATGGCCTTTTCAAGTTCAAATTTGTGACTTCACTCATTTTGTGGTAGAATATCCTTTTCAAGATTAACCTCGCTAGTAAGCAGCTTCAGGAAAAGAACTTGAAGATACATTCTGCTATTCAAAAACTGCAGCAAACTGAAAATACTCTGGAGGAATTCAGAAGTGATGAATTTGAAAGAACACTAGTAGATTCTCTCGAGCTTGCTGAAGAAATAGACTTTCCGACAGCATTTGAGCCAGTGCCAGTTCGCATTCAGCAAAAGAAACAGCAGTTTTCGTATGAAGGACGAGATGCACCCATGCAGAACCGAAAACAAAGGTTCAAAGTGAATTTCTACTTCGCAGTCCTTGATACTGCTATTCACTCGGTTGACGAAAGATTTCAACAGATGCAGCAGCTAGAGTCAGTATTTGGCTTTCTATATGATATCCACAGCATGCGAAAGAGAACAACAAAACGGATATTAGAATTTTGTATAAAACTGGAGTCGGCGTTGACTCATGAAAATTCGAAAGACATTGATGCTACAGATTTTTGTAGGGAGCTTCAGGCTTTTTCAAGATGACTTAAGGAACATTCCACTCCTGAAGAAGTACTGAAGTTTGTTTGTGAAAATAAACTCTCAGAGAGTTTTCCAAATGTTTTTATAGCTCTACGCATTCTTTTAACTTTGCCAGTTTCCGTAGCTAGTGGGGAACGTAGCTTCTCAAAGTTAAAATTGATAAAAACATATCTGCCCTCAACAATGGTGCAAGAGAGACTTGTTGGACTTGCCACAATGTCAATAGAGCACGAAATAGCTGGAAAACTGGATCTAAAAGAACTAGTGACTGAATTTTGAAAACTTAAAGCAAGAAAAGTCATGTTTTAAGAGCACAGAGTGTTTTTTATTCAGTGTGTTTTGTAAATACAGGTTAACGTTCATTGAAGAGTTTTCTTATTTCTTTCTATATTGGATGTGATGGTAATGGCAGTTAAAGCAGGATAGAGTAATGGATGATTTTGGATTTGTAATAATAAAAATTATAATTAACATTTTTTATACATTTTTATTTGAAATCAGACTGAAATAGTATCTCGCTCTCGTGTACAAATCTATCCTGAATATTTTGTGTCTCTATTTTATCTGATCTAAGAAACGTTGGTTGGCCAGACAGACAAACTGAATAATTAAGCCTCTGTTTAAAAAAAAAATGTTTAAAAAACATTAAAAGGAAAAAAGGGGCAAATGTTTCTCAGTTTATCAAAATCCTCAGCTTAGATCTGCCCTTGGGGTTTGGGGATGGGAGCGCTAATTCCATGGTTTGCCTAGGGCACCGAGTCTAGGGCCGCCCCTGCATTCTGATGTACAACAGGTGTAACAGACAATGCTGTCTGTCTAAGTTACATTTCCCTGGCAGTGCCTCGTTACAAGGGAACTATCCACAGGCACCCTCCTCCCTTCCTGCACACACACTGCTCCCAATTTAGGATATGTCTACACTACAAAATGAGATCAAATTTATAGAAGTCAATTTTTTAGAAATCGATTTTATACAGTCGATTGTGTGTGTCTCCACTTAAGACCATTAAGTCGGCAGAGTGCGTTCACAGTACTGTGGCTAGCATTGACTTTTGGAGCATTGCACTGTGGGTAGCTATCCCACAGTTCCCGCAGTCTCCGCAGCCCATTGGAATTCTGGGTTGAGCTCCCAATGCCTGATGGGGCAAAAACATTGTCGCGGGTGGTTCTGGATAAATGTCGTCAGCTCCCCCCCCCCCCCCGTTTCTCACCTTTTTTCCTGGGTTACCCGTGCAAACGACACACCACAACAAACATGGAGCCCGCTCAGCTCACCGGTACCGTATGTCTCCTGGGTGCTGCCACATGTGGTACTGCACCACCTAGAATGGCATCACAGAAACATCATGTCTGGGACTCTGACCCGGAGCAGCCGTTTGCCTCTCTCGTTTTTTGGTAGGCTTGTCTCAGCTCCTTCAGTTTCATGCGGCACTGCTGTGGGTCCCTGCTATAGCCTCTGTCCTTCATGCCCTTTGAAATTTTTTCAAATATTTGGCCATTTCGTCTTTTTGAACAGAGTTCTGATAGCACGGATTCGTCTCCGCATACAGCGATCAGACCCCGTACCTCCCATTTGGTCCATGCTGGGGCTGTGTTGCGATTCTGGGTCTCCATCATGGTCACCTCTGCTGATGAGATCTGCACTCACCTGCAGATCGCCACGCCGGCCAAACAGGAAATGAGATTCAAAAGTTCACGGGCCTTTCCTGGCTACCTGGCCAGTGCATCTGAGTTGAGAGTGCTGTCCAGAGTGGTCACAATGGACCACTCTGGGATAGTTCCTGGAATTGCATCCACACTATCCCAAGTTCGACCCGGCTAGGTCGATTTCAGCGCTAATCCTCTCGTCAGGGGAGGAGTACAGTAATCTATTTTAACAGCCCTTTAAGTTGGAAAGAACGTCTTCGTCGTGTGGACGGGTGCAGGGTTAAATCAATCTAACACTGCTAAATTCGACCTAAACTCGTAGTGAAGACCAGGGCTTATATTGGATTTTTTTTTAAAAGAGACAAACTCATGATCTTCGGGGCTTTGATTCTTGAGTGTTCAGGACTGGCCTAGGTCTTGGTCTGATTTCCAGACAGGTTTTAGATCTCTGCCACACCGGTGTCAGACCGGAGTCACTGCTGGCTCTGGCAAGGGGTGAGTGCGGATGGGCTAATAGGATCAGCCTCTGCCTGCTTGTCCCTGGGGGCTGCCGGGGAAGTCCAGCACACTCATTCTTCAGGTGTTGCCACCAGAGGGCTCCGGCTATTGCTAAGGGGGAGGGGTTTACACTGCAATGGGGGGCAATCTCCCAGAGTGGCCCCTTTGATTCTGCTCTTTTTCTAGTGTTTGGCTCAGAGATGCTGTTACTGGGAGGGTCTGAAGAGCCTGGGGGGAATCGGGGTGTGACATGGACTGAAGCCCCTTCTGTAACCTTCCCCATCACCCCTCTCGCCCCGACAGGCTGAAGAATCACGTCCACATTTCACTGCAGATCGGCCCATCTTCCAGGAGAGAGGGAAGGGAAATGGCTATGATGGAGCCAGCTCAGGTAGGGGATTTTCAGGGAGCTGCTGGGCAGGGGGAGGGAGAGGGAGGAGGGAGACAGGGTGTGAGAAACCTCCTCATTTTCTGAGTAGGACCATTGGTGAGCGGGAGGGGAGGGACATTCACCCATTTCAAAAACAGGACAACCCCCCCCTGCACAGGGCTGGAGCCTGAACCCATTAGCCAGAGGCTGCTGTGAAATACAAAGGGAAGCTGTTGGGATTCCTGTCCCTGTCCCTGGCTCAGAGCTCTGCTTCCTATGGCTGGCAGGCGTGTGGGAAATGAGAAGACGCTGCCCTGCTCTCACCTTCTCCCACCACCTGAAGCCTCCTGGCTGCTCTGATGGGTAGGGGTCTGATTCTGCTACTCTGCCCCTCCCAGAGCTTTTCACTCTTTCCCATGACTAGCGAGATTGTGGCTGGAGCAGCAGGTGCTGAGTGGGGGACGTTTGTTGTTTCAGATGCCGGTGACCTTCGAGGAGGTAGCTGTGTATTTCACCCAGGGGCAGGGGGCTCTGCTGGACCCCGCTCAGAAAGCCCTCTACAGGGACGTCATGCAGGAGAATTACGAGATGGTGACCTCGCTGGGTAAGGGATTCCCGTACCCTCGGTTATTAGAAGCCGTGGAGTCCGTATGTCTGAATCTGGTCAGGTTCTTCCCTGGTCAGTTAGATCAGAGGCGAATGGGTTCCATAATGCACAGCTGCCGTGTGAGAGAGACTTGCATCTCTGTGCCCTCTCCAGTGAGACACGGTGTCAAAACGTAATGGACATGCTAGCTCATCCCCATCCCTCCAGCTTTCAAAGGGGTAGAATCCATTCATTGTCCTTTCTGTATTGATTCCCATTCACACCAAATCCTTTTTTACCTCCCTTTTTGGGAATAGCTCCAGGCGTTGGGAAGGCTTATAAATAGGCAGGGGTTTAATGCCAGAGCTGTGTGTGCATCAGCAAGGCCCCTAGACTGGGAGAGATTTGCATCTCTGTGCCCTCTCCAGTGAGACATGGTGTCAAAACTTAATGGACATGTTAGCTCATCCCCACCCCTCTAGCTTTCAAAGGGGCAGAATCACGCACAAAATTTTTATTTACTGCCCTTCTTAGGAATAGCTCCAGCAGTTGGGAAGGCTTAGAAATAGGCAGGGGTTTAATGCCAGAGCTGTGTGTGCGTCAGCAAGGCCCCTAGACTGCGCAGATCCTGGGAACTCCTAGTGAGGGTGTAAAAATTCCCCTCACCTCCCAAAACATCTGCCTCTCCCAAGAGGGCTCAGCCACCATGTTCCCGTCCTCTTGGGTTCCATGTTCGCCAGCAGAGCACAGGGACAGGTTCCGCTCACAGAATGTCCTTTATTACAGACGCTCTCTCAATCCTCCACGCACCCTGATCTGGTCTGATTTCACTCCCTGCACAGGATTCCTCCTTCCCAAACCTGAACTGATCTCCCGCCTGGAACGAGGGGAAGAGCCATGGGTCCCAGATCTCCAGGTCTGCAAGGAAAGAGAGAGCCCGAGAGGTGACCACACAGGTGAGGACTGACACTCAAACCATCTGGGGAATGAAGAAAAAGTTGAGAGTCCTAAAAACGGGGTGTGAGTAACTGCCCTCAGTTCTTCCTCCTCTTACCCAGGGCAGCGCTGTAGTCAGCAGATACTGCTCACACTATTCTACTCACCCTGTTAACTGCAGGAGTTTCCTTCCCATCTCTCCTTCCCTGTGAATGTTTGTGTGGGATGCGGAGGCAAAATCCAATTGTTTAGTATTCGCAACTTTAGTGTGTCCGGTTTTCCCTGGGTGCTATTCCTCTTTGTCTCCAGCACAATGACTCCTGTCTGGATTGTCTCTCTCTCCCGGCAGGTACTGATCGAGTGAGTGAAAAAAAGGAGGAGAATCATCATGAGGAAGTTCCTGGGGAAGTGGAACTACAGGGGACCTTTGTAGGAAGAGCTGAAGGGAATTTTTCCCAGTGCTGGGAACAGGGAGAAGCCTGGGGAAATTGGCACACGTCAGAGAGGCTGCAGGGAAACCACCGAAGGAAGACAGTGGATGAATCTATTAAATGTGGGGGAGGAGACAAGGATCCCACAACCCAGCAGACAAATTCCAAGGAAGACAAACACTATGAATGCCTCGGTTATGGAGAAGGATTCATTCTGAGATCGCTGCTTGTTACACATCAGACAATCCATACTGGAGAGAAACCCCTTCAATGCTCGGACTGTGGGGAAAGCTTCAATAATCACTCAGCCCTGAATAACCATGGGAGAAGCCACAGAAGAGAGAAAACCTATCAATGCCTTGAGTGTGCGAAATGTTTCATTTGGAAGTCAGAACTAATTAGACATCAGCTAAGCCACACAGGAGAGAGACCCCATAAATGCTTCGACTGTGGGAGACGTTTCAAACAGAGGTCAGACCTTGTTAATCATCAGGCAATCCACACAGGAGAGAGACCCCATAAGTGCTTAGACTGTGGGAAAAGTTTCATACGGCGGTCAATCCTTGTTAATCATCAGAGAATCCACACAGGGGAGAGACCCCACAAGTGCGTGGACTGTGGGAAAAGTTTCACATGGAGGTCAGACCTTATTAAACATGAGAGAATCCACACAGGAGAGAGACCTCACAAGTGCTTCCACTGTGGGAAAACTTTCAGTCGGAAGTCAACTCTTTTAAAACATCACGCATTACACACAGGAGAGAGACCTCATAAGTGCGTGGACTGTGGGAAAAGTTTCATACAGAGGTCAGATCTTGTTAAACATCAGCACATCCACACAGGAGAGAGACCCCATAATTGTTTAGATTGTGGGAAAAGTTTCCTGCGGAGGTCAGACCTTGTTAAACATCAGGCAATCCACACAGGAGACAGACCCCATAAGTGTGTGGACTGTGGAAAAAGTTTCATACAGAGGTCAGACCTTCTTAAACATCAGAGAATCCACACAGGAGAGAGATCCCACCAGTGTTTAGTTTGTGGAAAAGGTTTCATATGGGGGTCACACCTCGTTAAACATCAGAGAATCCACACAGGAGAGAGACCTCACACGTGCTTAGACTGTGGGAAATGTTTCATACAGAGGTCAAACCTTGTTAGACATCAGTCAATCCACACAGGAGAGAGACCCCACAAGTACTTGGACTGTGGGGAAATTTCACGCAGAGATCACACCTTATTAAACATGAGAGAATCAACACAGGATCTAAACTTCTCTGACACAGAATCAGAAGGTGTTAAGGAAATTGCATGTAATTGACCTAGATTCAAACTTTACAGACGTTAGAAAAGTGTGTCCTTGTTAGATAAACTAGAGCTTCGAGAGGTAAACGTGTATTGTTAAAGACAGGGAAGAAGATGGTAACTGTAGTAGTCTTTGTTTAGCTATATCTTGTTAACCTCTAACAATGGAAATAAATGGTTCCTGTCTAGGGCTGTATTCTGTGAATTCAGAGATCAAAAGGGAATATTAACATTTAGATAAAACCTGGTTGTAATAATGTCATTGTTTGTCTCCTGAAAGTTTGTGGTAAACTGTCTATGATCTGCTTTATGGAGAATCTCCTCATGTTAATCCATGTAATTAATTACCAGTGATGTTTAGGAAATAGAAGGTTACTTCAAAATCCTGTTGTTCAGCCAAGGACTGTGAGCTGTCGAGACACTGCAAAAATGATCCATTCTTCTCTGATCTGCCGAAGAGTTATTCGTGGGGGAGGGGGCGTGTGAGTCGGAAGATGGAGATCTACAGTCCCATCTGGACCACCCTGACATTGAAATTTGGACATTGGACTAGAACGTGATGAAATGATTCTGTAAAGGACTCTGCAATTCTCTACAGTGAAAGTGACCTAAGGGTTCTGTGCATGTCTGTATGTATAATGATAGTTTAACCAACACACTCTCTCTTTTCTTCTTTTAATAAATCTTAGTTGAGTTAATAAGAATTGGCTGTAAAGCGTGCATTTGGGTCAGAACTGAAGTATTCCTTAACTTGGTGGATAATGTATTGGATCCTTTGGGATTGGTGGAACTTTTTGATGTGATGAATAAGATTTTCAGCAATCCCCATCATGTTGAAGTGGGCTGTCTGGGAGGGAGCCCAAGGCCGGGTTGCTCTAAGGGAGTTATGCTTTGGCCTCTGTGTAGCCAGTAAGGTACTGCATAGTCTCCCCAACATAGTGCCTGGCCACTGGTTGTGGGAGGGACAATCACGAGGAACATTAAAGACTCGCTCACTGATGAGGACCATGACGCATGGAGCTGCACAAAACTTTAAAAATCAGGGCATGCCCCTTACCTTTTGTGGCCCTACTAATGCCTCAGTTCTTGCAATTCTCCAGCAGGTCGCCCTCTCTCAGGAGTGGGGCATGCAAATGAAGATGATGGAGTCTTCATTCTAGTGCTTCGGAGCAGGGTAATCTGCAGAGTGGCGACATGGTCCTCCATCCACACCTTTGCCATACACTATGCGATCACCTGGCAGGCTAGAGAAAACATGGCCTTCAGCAGCGCAGTGCTCCAATCAGTGGAAGACTCCGATCCCACCACCTGAATTTGGGCTTGGGAGTCACCTGATTGGAATGGACATGAACCAGCACTCGAAGAAGGAAAAACAGTTACTCACCTCGTAACTGTTGTTCTTCGAGATGTGTTGCTCGTGTTCACTCCAATATCCACCCCCCTCAGCCGGCAAGAAGGAACTGAGGGGGTGGCGGGTGGACAGGGCCTCTATATTGGGCACCCAGACTGACCCTCCGGCTAGCTGCTTGGGGAAAAATCCCAGAGAATCCGTAGACTCAAAAAAATCAGGAAAATAAATTTACCCATTTTCATCTGAAGTGGGTAAACTGGCTTCACTTCTCATTATTCAGTTGTGTTAGTTAGAAAAGTTTTAGCATCATCATCATCATCATCATATATATATATATATATATATATATATATACTAACCTACCTAC